TCCAATATCTAAACTCTTCATCCAATTCAACCCAATTTTCAACCTTTCTCTAATTTCCTTCTAAATCATATTGTCCGCCACCACTATATGCCATATAATTATACAATGTTTACATTTATTTATACTTCGTCTCTCCATCTTTACAATACATAATATCCCATCTACCGATCTTCATACCTTGCAAATTATATTCGCCATTATAAGTCACTAATTTCCAATGACTAAACTCTTCATCCAATTCAACCCAATTTCCAACCTTTCTCTAATTTCCTTCTAAATCATATTATCCACCACCACTATATTACATATAAGTATTAATATTACATTTATTTATATTCCGTCTCTCCATATTTACAATACATAATATCCCATCTGCCAATCTTTGTACCTTGCAAACTATATTCACCAATTAAAGTGACTTGAACACTATCCTTAAATTTTTCATCCAATTCAACCCAATTTCCAATCTTTTTCTAATTTCCTTCTAAATCATACTGTCCGCCACCACTATATGCCATATAATAACACAATGTTTACATTTAGTTATATTCTGTCTCTCCATATTTACAATACATAATATCCCATCTGCCAATTTTTTTACCTTGCAAACTATATTCACCAATTAAAGTGACTTGAACAATATCCTTAAATTTTTCATCCATTTCAACCCAATTTCCAATCTTTTTCTAATTTCCTTCTAAATCATATTGTCCACCACCTCTATATTTCTTTTTATCGCATAACTTTTACATGTATTTATATTCCTCCTCTTCTTTCTTACACTACCTACTATCCCATCGAGCAATCTTCATACCATGCATATTATATTCACCTTGATGAGTTACTTATATCCAATATTAAGAATCTTCATCCAATTCCACCCACATTCCAATCTTTTTCTCATTTCCTTCTAAATCATATTATCCACCACCGCTATATTTCTTTTAATTGTATGATATTTACATTTATTTATATTCCTACTCTTATTTTTTACACCACATAATATCCCATCTACCAATCTTCATACCTTGAAAATTATATTCACCATTATAAGTAGCTTATTTCCAATAACTAAACTCTTCATCCAATTCAACCCATTTTCCAAATTTTTTTGAATTATCTTCTGAACTGTAAGATCCACCGCCACTACTATGCATAGAAAATATTTACATTTATCTATAT